GTCATGGAGATCAACATTTCTACTGAAATGCTGTTGAGGCAGGTTGCAGACATTTAGTTTACAGGTTATTAGAAATCTATATTTTCTAATTCTTTCCAATCTCATGTCCTCATTTATTTTCTTCTTTCCCTCTCTTTCTTTTTTCATATTCAAAGGAGAAACCCATTTTATAATCCTTGGTTTTCCATGAAGTTCATCTCCAGAGAATTTCTTTCTCTTTGAACTACTAACAAAAATGGGGAGCATAAGAAAGTCTCTTCAATCACATTTAATGAATTAATTTCTTGCCAGCAGGGTTTCTGAGATTTTCCATGCCATTTATCTACAAGAAAAGTTCACTGGTTGCCATATTAAAAATGACAAGCAACTGTAAGTAATCGAAAACACTAAGGCTGTTATTCAGGAACGTTGCTGGCTTTTCTGTAAGAAATACGGGAAAGCAGAAGAAGGACTCTAGTTTTTAAGGGTGTTTCAGGCTGATTTGCAAAACAGTTCATTAAGCACTTAAACTTTCCAGTAGTTAATTTTTTTTCTTCCATATGGCTTGCACTTCCATGAGTGAAATACTGTACATTTTAAGGTTAACTGCTTGACATTAGACCATGTCTAGTGGCGTGACATTACCTTGACTCATAGTATATATAATTAGTAGGTGCTAAACTTTTTGTCCCTACATTTTAGAAAATTACTGTCTTTACTATAGAAATACAGCCTGACCTGAAAATGGCAGTGGTTAGTCATCTTTAATTGGACGACCTGTGTAATATTAATGATGTACATGCTGTTCCTAGGAAACTGCAGAAGACCTTAGCTGACAGTAACTGCAGAAGTGAATGGTGACATTTCACAATGTTTGCCAGGCACCAGAAAGGCACGACATTTTAAAATACTTTTTCCTCAATCGTTTATTAGGTTGTAACGTACCACGCAGTTAATCTAAGAGGGATGTAAAAGCCTTCTAAAAGCCATAATGATGTGATGACTTAGGTTTCACCAGAGATACTGAGATATTTATAAACTTGATTGCTGCATTTCATTTCTGATTACTTGCTCCGAAAGATGTTAGTATCCACCCATTCATTCGTAAAATGGGTGGATACTTCTATATTTGGGCTGAAATTATGTTTAAGCATTTATAAATGTCATGTTCAGATTGTTACACAAGACATACTTTTGCTATGGTGAATGAGAGATTATAGTTTGGAAAGATATTGTCAGAAAATGAATAAAATTAAATAAGAATTTTAAATATTCAAGCAGCGGAAATATTCCTTTGTGTTTGTCATAACGTGGACCGTGGGAATCCATTAAAACAATTTTACTTTTTTGTGGGGGTCAAATGAGAAAAACCAGTTATATTTCTTCATGCTGCTTCTCCCTTTAAGTTCTCCCTTTAAGGAACAGGGGTGTGTCTACTGATTTGGAGAAACTGTTTAAAGTTCATCATCAAATTGAGATTTACAGTCTTTTCATTAAAAAAATAATTCTGTGAGGCAATTACAGTTACAGAATCCTATGAAGACTGATTAACGTCTGCATTAAATGGCTCATGAAGGATTAATGGGAAGAGCAGCTCTTCCTCTAGCTAAGTAGCATGCTAGCAAGAGGTGACCAAAGGCTGTTTTCCCCATGGGATGGGCTGTTTTCCGAAGAAGTCTGAAGCTTTTAGAGGTGGTCTGGCAGGAGATACTCAATGAATAGACCAGGGAACCCATAAAGTGAGGATGCCACTGTACAGCTGGCATCCTTGGTGTTTGAGGTATTGGTGTTAGCCCATGGGGTGGAGGAGCAGGAGCTGGTTCCTTCAGGAGCCGTAGTGGGCCTGGGATGCTGGCAGCATCGCGGAGTCATCCATTAAAACTCGGGCAGCTGGGTGTGCTTAGCTCAGCCAACAGAGCAATGGCCTCAGCTAGCAGTCTGCCCTCCAGCTTGGACTTCATTGTCCTAGAGAAAAAGGTGCTTAGGCAAGGCTTTAGGTAAAAGTGACTCCAAAAAAGGGTTTCCAGAAGGTACACCCTGAGGTGCAGTTTTTACTCTAGCGTGAAAGGCTGAAATGCAAATGCAAATTAAGGGCTTCATTAACTCCAAAGTTGTATCAGCAGATAGTAGCCTGTAGAAGCTCCCTCAGCTTTTTGGGCACTGTGATGATAACTAATGACTTTAGCAACATTGTCCCTTTTTCCAGAATGGACTCCCTGACTTTGCCCGCGATGGGCATGGACAACTAATGCGCGAACTGCTAATTCCCCTGCAGTCAGCTTGTAGCATTAATTTATTTCCGCTGAACTAAACGGTAGAAATTGAGTTTGTTTCCCTTGGAGCAGCTGCAAAGTTTAGATATGAGAAGGACCCGTTTTTTCCATTGTGCTTTTAGATGTAAATTACACTGTTGAAATGATGAAGGGTAAAAATTGTCGGATACAGTCTGAAATTCAGTATCTTCTGATACTGAGCAGAAACCCAGTATTTCTTCGGTTGCTGTGCCCAGAGGTAAGAAAACGGGCAGCGCTGGGGAGCTGGCAGAGAACAGTTCCCACACGTGTGGACCGCACAGCCTTGATCTCCAGAGCCAGAGGATCGATAGGAGGTGGATTTCTTTGCTTCAGAGAAAGGTGTAAGAAAATGGCCAAGGGAGCTAAAATATGAACACAAAGTTAAGTTTTGAAGCAGGGCTGTTATTCAGCTCTCTGTTATCTTTCCCCTTTCATTCTTTTGCATTTGCTTTTACATCAGTTTTTTAACTCTTGGTTTGCTAGCAAAACTTGGAGATCTGCTGACACCTTGCTGCCAACAGGATTCTTTGAATATTGATTTCACACTTTGTGTTACAAGTAATGTTACTTTTCTTTATTAGTCTAAAAATGGTCATTGTTCCCTTTCACTGAAAATCACTGTCTCTTGTATTGTGGTGCAGGGAAATGCTGCTTTCCAGACCGATTCCTCCATGCCACAATGGCCGGTATATTTGACTGTTCCTTATTGCTCTTCCTAAGGAAAATAGAGCTGATCTCTTCAATCACTTTTCATAGGAAAGACTTTCCATATTTCCAATGACTCTCTTTACCTCTTCCTGAACTCCTTCTAGCTTTTAATGCTCATTTGAGATGGGTCATTACCACTGAAGAGACGCCGTAGCTGAGGCTGTGCTCTTGGTTCACTGTAGACTCTGAGCCTGTTTTCACAAACCCTTCTAAACACCCTTAACGATTCTTTGGGGAGAATCTGTTTCTGTTTCTTCATTTGAACCAGGCCTGTAAAATTCAAGTGGGAGAGAAAGGTAGGTGATTAATGCACAGGGCTGGGAATCAGGAGAAATGATTTCTCCTTCAGGCTTCCTTAGTGATGTTCTAGGAAAAAGCACAAATGCAAAATGCAACCGTGTTCGTATTTACCGCAGTAACAAATTTGCCTGTTAGCTTGTGAAGCACTTTTCCCATAAGTAACATGCTAATGTACATATGCATGAGTATTCTAATTATGAGACTATGTGATGTGCAGTTCTGCGTATTTTATTGAATAGTATCCATCTGTTTTAATGGGATCAGGTTGATTGCATGGTCTTGATGATTAGACCTCTTGCATTCCCTGGTATTAACAGATGAGAAAAAACAGTAAATAGGAGCTCAATGCCAAAAAAGGAAATGGAGGGTTTTAGTCACAGTAATGGCATTGTGTCTATCAGATAAAATGAAGCTATTTCACTGAAAGTAGAAAACCTTTTAACCTATCTGACAAAAAATTTCAGGGACGAATCCATGTGTACAAAAACATCTTAGCTGCAAGGCAAGAAGTCACAGTATTAATAGCCCTCTGTCTGCTAGCGTCTTATCACTGGATTAAGGTTAACAAGCATAGAAGAGTCGTAAGTAGATACGGCTCTGTACTTGATTAGCAATTATTTAGGTCTTGTTTGTGTAACACTCTTCCTGGCTTGAATTTGCCCCTGTGATAGTGCTAAAGGCTATTGCAAAGTGTGTTCAAAGACTACTCAGAGCATATAATCAGCAGAATGTTTGATTAAAGCTGTTAGAGCAGAAGAACCGCATTTAAAAAGGAAAAGGGTAAGAAAAAAGGGCTTCAACCCAGAAAACAGCACATTCTTCGTTTTAGTTCCAGGACAATCCTTTTAATCTCATTCAGGTATTTACATTATACTAAAACCTTTCTGGAATTAGGGACCAAAATGTAGTCTTATAAAAGGTAAATTCTTCAGAGGTCTATAAGACCTATCTTGTGTGTTTTTCATGTCTAGGGTCATAAGAATGCGACTAATGAGCAATTGGGAATGTTGGACTGCTCATTTATATAATATATATAATATTTATTGAATACATATTATACATTGAATATTATATATGAATATACAATATATATTAAATCAACATTAAATATATGCATAATACTGGGCTGTTTATTGGAATATTAGATGGAATGATTAATTTATGAGTTAGGTTATTGTACTTGCTTCATAAAGTCTGAGCTGACTATCCAAAGCAACTGCTGAGCGAGACTTTTCAGATCACTAGGATCAACAGCTGTTGCTTCGGTAAAAGAATTGCAGTTTAATGCATGTGTAGTGTGATAAGCTTAACCTAATCTTGAAGAGAACATTAAAGATAAGAAGCTCTGTTAGTGTCAGTTTAAATATTTAAAAAGTACCTAATCAAGACACCCTTTTGTAGTATTGAGGCATCAATTGCATTAGATCTCAACAGTAGTAATATTAATGGCCATGCTTAACATTTATTTTGGCATACTATGTTGTCCTCTGTCTTCTTTCTTTGCCTTCGGCAAACAGCTGAATATAAATTACTATTTGTTTAGTTAGAGTTTAGAAAAAAAACCTAAATCCACTTTTCTGAAGCAGGCTTGTAGCTTCCTGGGGATACTGTGGCCAGTTGTAATAATAGTGATACCCACATCTCAGGTGTGCTGTGGGATCCAGTCTATGGGTGATTTTTATGTGTTGTTCTAAGACTTGTTCTTCCTTTTTCTTGCAGGAGAACCGGAATTCAAATATGTTGGGAATATGCATGGGAATGAAGCTGTCGGAAGGGAGCTGCTCATCTTCTTGGCTCAGTACTTGTGTAATGAATACCAGAAAGGAAATGAAACTATTATCAACTTGATCCATAGCACACGTATCCATATCATGCCATCTTTGAACCCGGATGGCTTTGAGAAGGCAGCATCCCAGGTTTGTAAGGCTACGTATATAAGAATAGTTATCAATGCCTAAATCAACCTTAGGTTCATAACGACATTTGGGCTAGCAGTTTTACAGATACATGAACTCTTGCTCGTGATTGTTGAATAGAACAGCGTAACTGAAGTATTTCCTAATAGTACAGTAGGCTTGTTCTGTTTAACAAGGAGGATTTTATGCTTGGGTTTTCAGCAAATAGCCATCTCTCTTGTAAGTGAGTTTACTGTATTTTAAAATATAATGATGTTTGTGTTCCATGCATATTCTTTCATCTAAGTTCACTGACTGAACTGCTTCCTAAACAAGTCACTTCTAGTAATACATGATGTTTCAAAAGTGGTAGAAAAGGGAAAGTTGATATTTCCTTTAAGAATATTCTCATGTAAATGCACTTACATGAATTATTCACATTCATCAGAGCTTGATCCCAAAACAAGCAAACTTTGTGAGCCATCTTTTTAATATGAATAACTTTGATCCTAAATTTCAGGCATGAGGTACTTTAATTAAGCTATTAGTCAAGAAAATTTAGCATGTATTTTAGGATGACGACTCAGTCAAGAAACATGTAATGTGTTAATGCATAATTAGCAAATAGAGGTCAAATAGAACCCTGTTATATACAGCTTCTGGTGTGTATTATGTTCTAAACAAAAATAAGAATTTTCTTGTTTTACAAGGTATATTTATTTTTTAAATTAATATGGAAATGTTGACTCTCTTTATGTGACTATTTATTTATGATTAAATAAGTCAAACCTTATTAAGATCTTAATCAAACTGATTCTCATGAAGTCTTTAAAAAAATGAAAAACCGCAGAACTCTTAAACCATATTCGGTCGTATGTCTCCCTCTCGTGGCAATGAAGCAGAAGCTGTCCTCAGATTGGTGCAGATTCTGCAATAATATAATTTGAAACCTTTTCTCCTTAGTCAAAGTACACTTGCTTTTACAGGATTGCCTTACAAATTACATATGATTTATAATACAATTTGCTTTAGTGTCACTGTTATTCTAATTTAGAAGTATCTTGATCTTGTACACAGTGTGTGACAGTAGATTCAATATACCCCAAGATTAAAACCAGTAATCAAACTAAACCTACTTTACAGAGTAGTGAAAGCTTAGAGAGACAAGCTAGGGAAAACTATACACTCTGAAGGCATTTCGTTAATGCAACCCAAAACCTATTTTAGGGAATCAGCTTAAAGAAAAGATTTTTGCAAAAATTCTCACTGCATCTTTATTTAGTGTCACCATTGCAGTGAACGAAGCTGACAGACACCATAAAAATAAAAATCTTAGGTAAATAAAAGTTAAGGTCCTTCCTTACCTTGAAACTATTCAGAGGAACTTCGAAACAAGTGCAGACATTCCTTGTGGCTGGCTGATAAATCTGTAGCTGCTCTGAGGCTCACTAAAATGTTTCCATAGAGCTCTGGGAAGAAATAGGGGTGACTCAGCTCCTGGTGCTTCAGAAGTTTTTACTCCCACATGATCCCTTCTTATTTTCAAGAACATGAGAAGTAAACCCATGGTTTAAATTTGCATGGGTTTTCTATGGGTAAATATACCCATAGAGAGCTTGATATGTAATCTCCTGAATCTACTCATCTCCCTTCTCTTTCTGTTCCCTTTCCTCATTCAGCCCGGTGAACTTAAAGACTGGTTTGTTGGTCGAAGCAATGCCCAAGGGATAGATCTAAACCGAAATTTCCCTGATCTTGATAGAATAGTCTATGTTAATGAGAAAGAAGGTGGCCCAAACAACCATCTGCTGAAAAACATGAAAAAAGCTGTGGACCAGAACCCTAAGGTAAGTAGGGGCTGAATATTGGGTCACTTATATGCCCATCCCTTCCCCTATACTTAAGCAGACATGTAGCAGCCTCTAAGAGCTGTGCGTATGGTCTTTACGATTCACATTCTTCTAAATATTTTGTTCATTTTGTTAAATGTATTCGTCTGATGCTTCTTGAAGTTTTTCTCAGAATGGCTTATTGTAGTAAACCCCTTTGATCCATAGTGCTTAATCCTTAGACAATTCCTCACTCAAAGCATGTTTTATTTTTACGGCCAGAGAATGTGAGCCTTCTCCCTTGATTTGAAGCTATTCTTGCAGATATTCTGCATTTTACCATGGCCAGAAATTCACTTGTGTGTTGTGCTTAATTACGTTGCTGGCTAGATAGCTATTCTCACATATAACACATGCATTTCTGATAAGCTTAAGCCTTAATATGCAGGTGTATATCTGGAGGGATTTTTATCTTCTTGTGTTTACCCCCAGAGGAGGTTTTAGAAAATATCCTATGTGACTGCAGTCCCATAGGATTGTGGCCTTAATAGCCATATTCTGTCTTCAAATTCAAATCATTAAATGAAGTCATTTTACTTTCCGTGCAGAGAATAGACTGCATCCTACCAACATTTATTTTGAATTAGATTCCTTTCCTTGGTTTAAAATTTGGTAGGCTTTTTTTAGCTTAGTAATGGGAAGAAGTAAAAGATTGAGATTGCTTTATTTGTGGTCTTATTCTGAACTAATTTACACCAGTTTTAGACTTACATTAATCTACTCAATATAATTCTAAATCTTGAGGTAAAGGATTCAGTTCTCTCTGAATTGCTGTTCATTTAAATGTCTTACACAATATATGTGATAATAATTAAGCCCACTATATATAATTGAATAAGTTTCTATGTTGAATTATCAATTTGTAACTGCTGGTAATGCTATTTTGTTGTAGCTTGCTCCTGAAACAAAAGGTGTCATTCACTGGATTATGGATATTCCCTTTGTGCTCTCTGCCAATCTTCATGGAGGAGACCTTGTTGCAAACTATCCTTATGATGAGACTCGGAGTGGTATGTAATACAAGTTAACATGAAATAGTAGGAGATAGAAATTACATTCTATACTTATGTCACTGCTTCTTAAAGTCCACTTCGTAAACATCATATCATTGCATTGTAATGACTTATTTTAGCATATTAATCACATGTTTAAAGCTAGTCATTGTATGACCACGTTTTTTAGTTTTGAAGATGGTTGTTTGTTTCAGTAGAGTTACATCACAAAAATTACGTAAAACCTGAGGGAATCATAGTCCCTCAGATATTTTAAACAAGGCAACTTAGCTCTTAAATTAGCTGGGGCTGTTTGTACCCTGTTAACTGGAGTGAGAGAGATGTGTCTAGGCTGCCTGTATGATCTAAGGTTTCTCTACTGGTACCTTTAAAAAATGAATTTCTGAAAGCAGTAGTGTGCTAATAGAAACAACTATCATTGTTTCCACTTTCTCAGTATTGGTCCCATATAAAAAGGATCCCATTGTGGCAGAGATGTTATCATTTAGCACATGGCAATATTAGTTTGTTTTTTCTGCTACTAGAGGATGTGCACGTGACTGAAATGGTCATGATATGATGGTATTATTTGTGATTGACTTCCTTCAATCTACTTTCTCACAGTTGAATTGCAAATCCTTTTAATACCAGACTGTAAAACTCTTTAGGAAGAGACCTTTGTCTATGTACTCTGTGTTCTTCTAAGAAAATATCTAAAGCCTAGAATAGCTTAGATTTTGTGGTGCACTTTTAAATTAACATTTTCATAAATATTAAGACTGATATGAATAGTCACCTTAATAATGGGGCAACCTGGTACAGGTAATTGATGAAGTATTGGGGAAATGTTAATGTTATTAAGGTAATTAATTAGTTACTGTATTAGTTTGTGATGCTGTAGGACACTTACCCATGTACAGAGAATTTCCAGGCACAGTCCTCCTGTGCAGTGCTGGTAGTCGAGGTTGTGAGCCCAGTCAGTATGACTGCCCTTTTAATAATCCTGGTTCCTGGACTTCTATTTCTCCCTAGGCAGTGCTCATGAATACAGCTCCTGCCCCGATGATGCTATTTTTCAAAGCCTGGCTCGCAGTTATTCTTCTTTCAATCCCGCTATGTCTGATCCAAACAGACCACCATGTCGTAAAAATGACGACGACAGCAGCTTTGTGGATGGAACAACTAA